GAGCATGAAACTGAGCAAACTCAGGGAGGCAGTGAAGGACAGGAAGGCCTGGCGCAATATGGTTCATGGGGTCACGAAGAGTCGGACACGACTTAACGACTAAACAACAACAACAATTCTCCTGGGGCCTCTGATTTTGCCAGCTGATCAGAGAAGAATCTTGGTGAGGATGCAGAGATGGGAGGCTTGGAAAGGGTCCGTTAAGGACTGAAAGGAAGAGGTGGCTGGCGTGGTGTGGGGGCTTGGTGGCAGAGCCCCCGAAGGCAGGAAGGGTAGTAGGTGCCAAAAGGAGCCAAAGGCTGGCCAGCACCAAGAGGGGGGATTGTCATCCAGAACTCGTAACTGTTTTGGGAACACGTTTCTTCAAGGGATAATGACAGGTCCACGCTGAAGAACAAGATGCAAGGCGAGGTAGCGGCCAGGACACATGGCCCAAATGTATGAGACATGGACACAAAGTGGGTGGTGGGCCCCTCTTCCCAGCTACGTTCCTTTCCTGGATCCTTTTCTCCAGCTCTGCAGCAAGTCAAGAGTCTGACTTACTCCTGCATCCTTGGGATGGAACAGAGGTGCAGGGAGTTGTCCATCTAGCAAGACCATCCAAGGACAGGCTTGTCCAGGAGAGAGAGGGACTTATGCTCAAGATGGACTTGGCGGTGATAGAAACAGGACTTGGTTTCCCTGGGAGCTCAGCATTCGGGATGCTTGAGAATCTTCTTCTTGGGTGAGTCAACCAAAGATCACTGTCCGCCGCCACCACCTGGACCTGATCATGGAGCCTTCAAGCTCTCATGGGCAAAGGCTATCTCTCCAGATGCTCACAGCAGGCAGGGCCCAATCTTTGGTTTCCGAGCACCAGTACTGGAACCATGGCTGAGAAGGAAGCTCTTTCAGGAACCTAGCTGCATGGACAGATGAAATGAAGGTCAGACAAGAATCACAGAACAGAAACATAGAGTTGGAAGGGACCTAAATGGTCATCAAGTTCTGCACCCTGCAGGATTTGCTACACCATTCCCAAGAGATGATTATCCAGCCTCTGTTTGAAAACCTCCAGTGAAGGGGAAGAAACCACTCCATGTAGTAACCGATTCCACTGATTGACTACTCTTACTGTCAAGAAGTTCTTCCTACTGTCTAATCTGCATGTGCATCCTTGAAGCTTCACCCCGTGAGTTCTAGTTTTAACCTCTGGAACAAGCAAGAATAAGTCTGAACTCTGTACAGTGTGGCAGCCCTTCAGATATCATGTTCCCTCTCAGTGCTAAACATACCTAGCTGTTGGAGCCATTCCTTTTGGGTCTTGGTTTCCAGTCCTTTCACCATCTTGGTGGCCCTTCTCTGGACTGGCTCCAGTTTATCAGTGTCCTTTTTAAACTGGGGTGTGCAGAACTGGATGCAATACTCCAAGTGAGGCTGGACCAAGTCAGAGTAGAGCGGGATCATTGCTTTCTGCAATCTGGACTCTACACTCTTCTTGATGCCCCTCAAGATGTTGTTGTCCTTCTTTACAGCTGCATCACACTGTTGGGACATGTTGAGCTTGTGATCTACTAGTATACCCAATTCCTTCTCACATTGTTGCTCCTGAACCAGATATCCCCTGTACAAATTTCCTTCATTTTTCTTACCTAGACTTTACATTTCTTCCAGTTAAATTTCATTCTATTTGTTTCCATCCACTGTTCTAGCCTGTCTTAAGTCTTTTTTATTTTTTCCTTTCTCCCCCCATGTATTAGCTACCCCTCCTAGCTTTGTATTGTCTACACATTTGGTAGGGATTCCCTTGACTCCATCTTCTGTATCATTTATAAAAATGTTGACAAAGCCCCATGGTACCCCAGTTGAGGTGTTTCTCTAGGTAGAGTTGATGCCATTTATAACTACTCTTGAGGCAACTGTAGATCCAACTAACAGTTGAGTTGTCAAAACCATATGTGACCCTTTTGTTAATAAGAATGCCATGAGAGAGTTTGTCAGAAACCTTGCTGAAGTCGAGATATACTATGTCTATGGCATTTCCCCAATTAGCCAGGCTAGTAACTCTGTCATAAAAGGAGATCAAGTTAGTCTGGCATGACTTGTTTGGTATAAATCCATGCTGGCTCTTGTTCATTAATGAATTCCTCTCTCAGTGCTCACAGACATGCTGTTTGATTGTCTGCTCAAGGACCTTGCCCAGCACCAATGTCAAGCTCAACATCCTATAGTTTCCTGGGACCTGCTTCTTCCCTTTTTGAAAACAGGAATAACCTTATCCCTGCTCTAACCTTCTGGGACCTTGTCTGTTCTCCAGGATTTCTCCAAGATTGCAGAGGGTAGTTCTGCAGTTAGCCCTGCTAGTTCCTTCAATAGCCTAGGGCAGTGTTTCTCAACCTTGGCCACTTTAAGATGGGTGGACTGCAACTCCCAGAATTCTGGGGATTCCAGGAGTT